GAACTTCTTCACTTTGAGGGTGGCAGAGCCCTGGAACAAGCTGCCCAGGGAGGTGGTGGAGTCTCCTTCTCTGGAGACATTCCAAACCCCACCTGGACACGTTCCTGTGCAACCTGCTCTGGGTGGACCTGCTTTGGCAGGGGGTTTGGACTAGATGATCTCCAGAGGTCCCTTCCAACCCCATGTGATTCTGTGATGTTATAGGGAAGAGTAAGGAGATGTTCTTCCCTGTAACAAAGGTGGAAAGGAGCAAGTAGCAAACTGTGGAAAATGCTGTGTTATTTCTCCAAAAAGTCCAAATCATGTCATATTCTCACAGAAACTAGCACTCTCACCACTAATCAGCTGAACATGGATAGTTTTCAGGGATACTAGAAAGCAACAACCCATTATTTTCTCTTGGAAGCTCACTGCTGTATTTGTTTCACAGAATCACCGAATCTTAATGGTTGGAAGGGACATTTGAGACCATTGAGTCCAACCACAAAAAAAAAACCAAACCAAAAAACCCAAAAGAAAAACCGAAAAAACCACAAACAGACACAACCCAACAATCAAAACCCAAAAAACCACAAACAGACACAACCCAACAATCTCGGGCACTAGAGCATGCCCTGAAGAGCCATGTCTACATGTTTCTTAAATACGACCCTCAAGCAGATCAACACTCCCACCTAGTTTGGTGTCATCTGCAAACTTACTGAGGGTGCAGGTCTGTATCTCTTCATTCTGGATCTTAAGGGCTGTCGGGCAGAAGCAGTAGGTAACACTATGGGCAGCTCTGACAGCTGCTGTACGCTCTCTCTAGGAAGGAAAAGATGGGCAGAACCAGATGGAGAACTTTTTCCTTCATTAGAAGTCTTCAGAAGCACTGTCACACAAAAAAAATCTTGTCGTGAAAAAGCTGAAGAAAAATATGGAGCAGTTGTAACTCTGTTGTAACACAATTTTGGAGCCCAGTATTATTCATCTTCCTTCCACAGACCAGGACAGTAGATCCACAGCAGATCACAGCAAACATGCTGGAGACCAAGGAGCTTGCCTGAATCTGGGGACCAGGTATTTGCAAAGCAAGAAAGAGCACGGCAGTTCTGACACAGTAATCCCTGACCTCACCAACGGGCAGGGAGAAGTGGCGTTTATCCCAACCGCTGAAGCATGCCCATGTCCAAGAAAAAGTGCATAAGCCAGTAATCAGTGCAGGGCTTAGCTCATTAGCTTGTGCTTTGCTTACAAGCTTGTACACCAACAGCTAAATTGGGGGTGGTGGGTGAAGTAAACAGCTCACCCAGTGCTTCTCTCCCATAGATTCCACCCTTGAGGCTTTCGAGAGGCAACTTCATCATTGCATGGCGTGCTCCCTTCTCCCAACATTACCATCTCAGCAGAGGAAGCCCTCCAAAGCAGCATGTCTGGAAAACCACCGAAGTGATGACAGCATTGGGATGAGAGAGTCACAGAGAATTTCACTGAATTTCACTGAATGTTTAGAGTTGGAAGGGACAGCTCACCCAATGCTTCTCTCCCATAGATTCCACCCTTAAGGCTTTCGAGAGGCAACTTCATCATTGCATGGCGTGCTCCCTTCTCCCAACATTACCATCTCAGCAGAGGAAGCCCTCCAAAGCAGCATGTCTGGAAAACCACCGAAGTGATGACAGCATTGGGATGAGAGAGTCACAGAGAATTTCACTGAATTTCACTGAATGTTTAGAGTTGGAAGGGACCATAGAGATCATCTAGTCCAACTCCCCTGCTGAAGCAGGACCACCCAGAGCTTGTCAGAGCATGTTACTCAGGAGCATCCAGGCGGGTCTTGAAAATCTCCAAAGAAGGGGACTCCACAACCTCCCTGGACAGCCTGTCCAGGGCTCTGTCACCCTCACCGTGAAAAAGTTCTTCCTCATATTCAAGTGGAACCCTTTATGTTCCAACTTGTGCCCATTGAAGATGCGATGTCTAGTCCCAAGCTGATACCTAAATTTTGAAGACCACCTAGAGGTAAACTGACAGTGACGAACCAATTTGTTCAGACATGGCAAAAGCAGACTGGAGAAGGAACCAAGGTGATAAGGCACAAAATAAGGAAAGTAACCCAAAAAAATAAGAGAGACAGTGGTCATAATGCAGCTGCCTGCTTATATCATGTACAACTGGGAATGCAGGCCAGCCAAGTTACAGAGGTTTTCCACATCTTACACTAAACAAAACTACAAGCTCTGTCCCAGTTTGGCTTCAATACAAATATACTCCACCCCAAGATCTCATTATACAAAGCAAACCAGAGTTTTACAAGTACTCCATTCCTGTAGCCAGCACAAAACCCGAAGTCTAATTAAGAGGAAATGCAGAAGTGCAGAGGGAACTGTTTCTATCAGGCTTCTCTGACCATCACAGGTTACTATTATCACTACAGGTCTATTGTTACTGTTTTCACTGGATAATATAAAATATTGTATTATGAATACCCAATTACTATTTAAATATTAATATCTAGTATTCATACTCCAAGGACAAATTCAAAGGAACAAAAGTAAAACTTAAGTTACTAACGTGTTCTTGACCATCTTTTGGGAGTTTTCAGGTGAGGTACATGAACAGATAGACTGCAAGGAGACCAATCCCTCTAGTCAAAGGTAGTTAACTAATTGCAACAGCCAGGGACCTACTGATCTTCTCGGTTTTGCAGTTTACTCGCTCTCACTCACCGAGATGCTGCAGTGAAACCAGACATCCCTGTTTTCATTAACTCCTTCTTATATTCTATTTAACTTCTAATTAATTTTGGGCTGTGAAATACCAAAAAAAAAATGCATAGTAACAAAACCTGTCTTTCTCCCCCTAAAAAAGGAAAAAAACACTTTTAGGGTAAGTCATACAAACATGAAAAATCGGTTGTCTGTAATAGACAGAGTAAGAAATACTCTTAAGCTACTCTGTGTGTGCCTGGGACAAGGACAAGGACAAGCAGGGCCAGTGGTTAAGAGCAGGAGCAAGAGCAGATCTTTTCCTATGACAAGCAGGCAGGAGCATTTGGAAGTTAAAAAAAAAAAGACATTCTGGACTATGAAGACAAGAGGAGCAAAAGCAAATCTGTGAACTTTAGGCAGTAGAACAGGGAGAATATTGCTGATCATTTGCAAAGAAAATAAAAGAGAACCGAAATACAGTACAGGCCTGGAACTAGCTTAGCAAGACAGGAGATACGGAACTAAACAGGAATTTAGAAGGTTCTCAGTTGTTCTACTCTTGCAACATTAAGTATTACAGAAAATTATGGAAAAGCACTTACGGAAGCACTGGCATATGCATCAGCATACACCTAAGTACTGACCCACACGAGATACAATGGCCAAGAGTCTGCAGGGGCAGCCATTTCAGTTGCCAACAGAGGCATCCGAGCGCTACCAGAGGTAGGACTGCACGTACAGATCTGAAAAACAACCGGCCACAGAGCTGCAGACCAGTCACACTCCCAGTTTCCACCAGCACGTAAATAACTGTAACAAGCACACAGAAAACAGGCATGAAAACATCCATACCACCACATGGGATCTTCTTCAGCAGCAGCCCTCACTCTCCCACAGGTTTCAGAAAACAAGTTCCTTTATTTCGTTTGTCGTATTACAGAATGGAGAACTTCTTATCCTAGAAGACATGCCCTCAGTGCAAGGAACCCCATTTCAAATCAGAATAGTCCAGAGCATTAGAGGTGATGTCTCAGCTTGACCTTGCACAATAGCACTGAATCTCTCTCTCCCTCTTTGACCAGAGTACCCCTCTAGAAACATCTCAGCCTTAAATTGTTTGCCTTTCTCATTGCTATAATACACTGGTGGTAGATGTCAGTCATGTTAAGTGCTTATAAAAATAAAACAACTGCCTCACTCTTGCTAAACTCTTGGCTTAAATTGCACCTTGGAACAAATTCTTTCGACATCTTCTCATCTAAGGGCACTTTCTGCACAAAAGTAGATTGTACTAATTTTACCCAACTGCACTAGCTTTCAGCCTGGTGTGATGCAATCTAACTTAAAAATATCCAAGGGGATACTACCTTTTCATTTCCTCATGCTCCCTCTCGCTAAAAAAAAAAAAAAAAAAAAAAAAAAGGTTTTCGATTTGGCTGCATTTTCCACTTCAATTTCATCAATTCTTTGTTTCACAATTTAATCTGGTCAAGCTTTGTAAGGCAGTATCACAGCCCTCGGAAAGATGTAGCCAGGATTTCAAGGACAGAAGGAAAAGATTACAAGGAAACGGAACATTCTACCTTGTCAAGAATAAGAGGGGTTTACTGATAATGTACCAACTCAGTATCTTGCTTCCCTTTTTTTCTTCACTTTTATAATACAAACTTCAAGTAGGTCCATTATAGAAATAGCATCAGTATATGTCTAACTCTTTATGGTGTTTCACTAACAACAAACCAAAAGAGGTATGTTCAAGATCTATAACCTAGGCTCTTAAAAGATTAGCCCTCTTCAGAAACAATATATAGTAAGAATTTACATGACCGTGTCTATAACAAGCCCTGTCACTGTGACCTCAAAATCCAAAGGCACGTTATCTAATAGTTTAAGGACTGACTGACAGGTTAACAGGATTGCAGTTCTGTTTCTCTCTAGCAGCCACCAAAGCTATCCCTTCAACATCATCAGTAATGATTTTCCTTTTAAAACTCAAGAGACTTGTATCCTCAGTGACTTAGGTGAACTCATAAAATGACTGATAATACCAAAGGCCTGAGATTTCCAAGGCATTCGGGAAAATTATTCACGTCAATATAAAGCATTTTAGAACTCTTAGGAATGCAATTACGGGAGGGGAAAAAAAAAAAAACCCAACAGGCTAATATGATGAATAAGATCCAACAGGTTTCACTTTTCTGGCATAGCTGTATCAAAGCTGCCAGATCACAGATTTCTGAAGTTAACCAGCACTTGAAGAAAGGGGAATTGGTGCATATGATACCAAAAAGAACCTCATACTCTCATGAGTTAGAATTCACAACTCTTTTATTCAGTTCTCCATGTTAGCAGGACAGTGTTCAAAGAGTCCAAGTGTGGACGTCACCCCACTCCACGTTGCTGCTGGTCCATCCTTTCTTCCCCTCATTGTGATCAAGAGGTTAGTGTCCCCGTAACAGGGAAGAGAAGACTTCCTGCTCGTGTAGAAAAACCTAGAAACAAACCATTGAAAAAGTTATTTTCCCAAAAAATATTAACGTCAGAAATTCAAGCAGACATCATTAGAAAGATCTCTGTAACTGGCATCTCTCTGGTTTCCTTGACAGTTGCATTGCAGATGCACCAAGGACTGAGACATGGGTACCAGACTCCTCTTTTGACCTTGGAAAAGGTCCTTACAGATCAAGGAGCGAGATGCAGTGAAGGCTGTGCTCTAGAGGTAAAATCTAATTCCTGTTACCTTTCCTGCGGGTAGAGGAGTTCAATCTCTGCAACTGTTGCTCCAGCATCTTTCACAAGCATTATATTCCTGTGGAAATATTTCATGTGGAGGAAAAATTGTGTAAAAGTTTAGCAAAGTCAAACTGCAGCCTCTTTCTGCCTAGCTCTCTCACTGATAAAGCTTCAGTATTTGCCATCCAGTAAACAAAACATTTCCATTCCAGCAGGGACAAGCATCCCTACGTCACATTATATTTGTGCTACTCCTTCAATACACTGTTGTAAAGATGGGTAGGGAGGGTAACCCTAACATTTGTGTTGTTTCTGTTGGCCTGGTGTTTGTTAGATGCACGGGGAAATATACACACAAGCACACCAAAGTTTCCCCCTGAAACTCGTAATATACTGTACCAGTTTCGGGCTTAATACACAGTAAAACCACAACAGACAGGATCCAGAGAATAATAAATACCAGCAGACAGTGCTTTGCACGGTAGCAGTGAGGGAGAGAAACTGCACAAGCACCCTTGGGCAAACCACACTCTGTGTAAACACCAGAGACGCCGTATTTTCAGTTGCACAAACAGTCACTAGGACATTCCCATTTCTCATCACAGTGTAACTAAACAGTCATCTGAACCCCTGGCCTCCCACTACATTGATAAAACAGAGTTGAAAGGACACCCGTGTACACAGCTACTGCTTAGTCTTCTCCCCCTGCTTCACCGCACCTTCCTTTTTAGGCCGTGTAACACTCTGTACAGTTTTCACCTCTCCAGTTCCTTCCTCCCCAAAATGCATGTATTTTACGACACAGATAAACTAAGCCTCAAGGAAGCTCAGTAGTATCACTGCTTCCACCACAAACGGGAAATCTGCATAGAAAAACCAAGTGACTGGCCATAGAGGAAGCAAGAACTGGGTTACGGGCTAATTTTACCTCCAATGGATTTTTCTCCCTCTCTAACAACAAATGCTATTTTGTACAAGAGGAATTGTTGCAATAAATTCTGGAAATTAACATCTGGGCTACATGATCTCCAGAGGTCCCTTCCAACCCCATATGATTCTGCAATATATCCCTGAAAATTTATGAATGTACTAAATTATTTGTTTTCTGATTACAATACTTTATTAAAAAAAAAAAATTCCAGTGATCTCTAATAAAACTTGGTTTCTTTTCCACTCTTGTATTAAAATAGACAAATAGCACTATAATTGAGGTAAGACAAAAATTTAGTCCTGGAAAACTGTATCTATCGCATTATATTAAACCACATTAACTTGGGAAAATGCAAAGCACTGCAGAAGGGAAACTTTAAAATTCACTGTTGATCAAAAGCAACTGTCCTTTTTATTGACGGATATATAGGATGCCATTGATAAAGACTCCTGCTGCTAATGCATATATTGCAATAAAAATATACAGCCCAGTAAAATCTATGCTAGTGCTAGACTTCAACGCTCTGTCCTGTAGCTCCTATGCATCCTGACTGCTTTCCCTTAACCACTCTGCTTCCTACAGAAATGGACAACAGAACGACGTATATAACTCCCCAAACACATTTCCTTCCTTGCAAACGAACAAATCTATTACACTAAGACAGAGTACTATATGCAGTTACATATAGCAAACTGCCTCCAAATAAAAACTAGACTTGGGAGGCAGACAGAATTTCACATAAATCTTTTATGAGCCCTTCCCCCCGACACACACACACTTGGCAGAGCTTAGTATGCTGACATACTACTATGCAGACGCTGTATATTCTAGCAACACTTGTACTCTTTCTCAAAGGAACAAAAGGGAGATGCAGAAATACCCTGAAAATGCCTTGCCTAAGTACAATGTCAATGTTAAACTTTCAATCAGCCTAATCCATAATCCGCTTTTCAGTCAGTGTGGGGAACCTATCCCTTCCTCTTTTCACATACATACCAGCCCTCGCCTGCCCCTGGAAGTCTATGAAAAGAATGGAAAATATTCTGCCTTCTTCAAATCACTACCATATCAAAGCTGCAGAGAACAGGATGCTCTGCTATGTCATATATAGTAGGGAAAAAAACCAACCTATCTTTTTGTATTGACAGCCACGTGTGAAACCGTGGAGAATCTGCGAGATCTAAATCCCTGCTTATTTCACACCCCCAAAAAAATACCTTTCTTGAACAGTTGACTCTTAAGTCACCTAGAATGGTCTCCTTACTCATTAAAAAGGCTTACAAACATTTCTATGCCTCTATCCCTTACTACGCTGAGAAGCAAATGGTTACAGGTGTATCTGGGCAAATAAGCCCAGGGCCAGATGACCACCCTTCTTCCCAAGTATTAACCATCATCTGACCTCAGTGCAGTACCAATTCTAATCACATGAAAATCCATTCTAGTAGGCAGGTGCTACAGCTAGTTTCCATACCAACAGCTCTGTACCAACTTTCAGCTCTGCTCCTTGATATCCAGTCCCCAAAGGCCAGCACGCCTACCATATACTAGGTACGACAAGTCCGGTAAGATTCCTCCTTACAACAGAAAGCTGGGAATGCTCAAGAGTAGCAAAAGCTGTTTTACTGCCTCATAGAATCATCTAGGTTGGAAGAGACCCTTGGGATCATCGAGTCCAACCATCTACCCTACTCTACAAAGTCCTCCCCTACACCATGTCCCTTAGCACTGCATCTAGATGTCCCTTAAACACATCCAGGGATGGGGACTCCACCCCCTCCCTGGGCAGCCTGTTCCAATGCCCGACCACTCTCTCTGTGAAAAATTCCTTCCTAATGTTCAGTCTATAAACCTCCCCTGTTGGAGCTTGAAGCCGTTCCCTCTCGTTCTGTCACTAATTACCTGTGAGAAGAGACCAGCACCAACCTCTCTACAGTGTCCTTTCACGTAGTTGTAGAGAGTGATGAGGTCTCCCCTCAGCCTCCTCTTCCTCAAACTAAACAGCCCCAGCTCCCTCAGCCGCTCCTCATACGATTTGTTTTCCAGCCCCTTCACCAGCTTCGTTGCCCTCCTCTGCACTCGCTCCAGCACCTCCAGATCTCTCTTGGATTGAGGTGCCCAGAACTGGACACAACACTCGAGGTGTGGCCTCACCAGTGCTGAGTACAGGGGCACAATCACCTCCCTACTTCTGCTGGTCACACTATTTTTGATACAAGCCAGGATGCCATTGGCTTTCTTGCCCCCCTGGGCACACGGCCGGCTCATATTCAGCCGTTTGTCAACTAGAACCCCCAGGTCTCTTTCCTCCAGGCAGCTCCAGCCACACTTCCCACAGCCTGTAGTGCTGCAGGGGGTTGTTGTGGGCCAAGTGCAGGACCTTGCACTTGCCCTTGTTGAAACTCATGCCATTGGCATTGGCCCAGTGATCCAATCTCTCTAGATCCTCTTGCAAAGCTTCCCTCTCCTCCTGAGAGTCACCACTCCTGCTTAACTTGGTGTCATCTGCAAACTTGCTGATGTT